GCTGAAGTCAGAATGTCCAGCTGGTACTATATTTTATGGGTCAGAGTCCCAGGAAAAGACATTTACACCAAATATTTAGCTGAGTAATATTCATGTCACTAATCATCTTTGATTTCTATGTTCTTTTAAATGTGTCCTGAAAGTAATACTGCTGTTTAGCTTGTTTCCCTATGTAGTTTTAGGAATAATATGGTAATGACTGGTGCTGTTGTAGGAAGAGTTGAAATAGAATGATGAAAAATAGCAAAAACATTTGCTAAGAATATTTCAGATTTTCAAAAAATAGAGATATTAGTTATCACCAAGATTTTCTCCATCTACTTAAAAAACCCTGTACAAATCATAATTTGTCTCTCTAACACCAATTTCCTAGTAAATTCTTTTCTAATCTACAAATCTGATGGGTATTCTATATAATTACTTTTTATTAATGATAATAATAATAGTAGCTGGTATCTCTGGCTCCAGAAAACTCCCAGGTGTGGGAGTCCTGTCTGTGAGAAAATAAGATCTGTGAAGAAATCTCTCATTTTCCTGCTCAAAGACTAGTCTAGATTTTGATGTTGAATGCCAGGCTATAATCACATAACCTCAGCAACAAAATCAGGCAGGAAGCCTCTCCCTGATTTTAGTTTTGCCGTAAGGGACGTTATTTTATGAATGTGCTTCATAAAGACTGTGTGAAGACTGCTTATTCTGGTTGCTGCCAATTACAAAGTCTACCGCACAGGCTAGCCTTGTGAAATATGGGTAAGGATTACTCAGAATTCTCACTGAATCTGAAAGACTTGATGGAGCCATGATGGAATCAGGAAACAAACTGCCAAAAGCCCCAAACATGGCATTTCTATAGATAATTATAAACAAAAAAGACTAGAAGGCACCTTATTGAACTGCCTACATTTGATTTAATGCAAGTATTTACAATAAGTTATATTTTATGAGTTCTGTTTAAATACAAAAGTAGTTTACAAACAAAGGATTTTTTTTAGATGGAGACTCAGAGCACATAAGCAGAAGGAAAACAGCTGTGCCGTGTCAGATGGGCATCGAGAAGGGGCATGGAAGGAGGAGACAGTAGGCTGTCATTTCCCTCCTATTTCTAATGTGCTTTTATATCCTTGATTTTTTTCTCAGTTCCTCTTCAGCTGACCACCTCTATTACCTTCCTTTGTGAGCATCCAGCAGAGACCAGAATCATCACCAGCCCTTGGCAAGTTGCTCTTCCTGAGGCAGCTCTAGACTGTGCTTAAAGTAAAAAACAAACAAACAAGCCTCTTCCATATTACAGCCAAAGCAAAATACTGTTATTGATGGCAGGCAATGAAAAAATGCCTAATGATATCAGTAGGATCAGGATTTTGTTTCAAGAGTTAGGGAGAGGAGCTCATTGAAGCATGTGAGTGCCTGCTTCTGAGGCATAGTTCACTGCTCCAAGTGCCAGCTCAAGCCATAACCATTGTCTCTTCTGCAGCTCCTCCATGAGCCTCCTCTCCCCTCTGCTGCTGCTCTTTCTGAGGACATGTGTGCACATTGTAGTTTTTAAAAGGAACTTACTTTAAAATATTTAGCCACACCCATGTTTTTAGAAGATCCTAACTTCATAATATAGGATCTAGGCTGATGATGTCATACAAATTGCTGAATCCACAGCAGCAAAGGTCAAGATTCAGCCTAAAAGATTAGACTGATAGGGTCTATATTTGGGTTTGAAATGCTTTCATCAGGTTAAATGTTAATTGAATTTCACTACATTATTTCTAAGTCTGCAAAAGAGAATCACTCACAGATCATGAACAGTTCATATCTGTAAAGACCACCTGCTTTGAGTTCAGCTAAAATGACACTCAAAATTGCAAGATGTTTAGTTGTGTGACCAAGTGACACATTTTGCATTGTTTCTTGTGGGCCAACATTTGCTGTTTAGGGACAGGAGGCTGAGCAGGAAGCCCAAGTCTGCAGGGACTGCTTCCAGATGTCTTCCTGGTGCTACAGTGTTTGTTGTGAATCACAGAATGGTCTCCACACACTCTTAGTTTTAGCTTTCAGGGAAGAAAGACACAAAGTGGCCACTCTGTCTTGCTTTCTGGTCAAAAATTAGAATTTTTGCAGGTGATGTGCATGGCTTCATTTGGGATTGGCAGTAAAACCTCTGAATCTCCCTTGTGGCGTGTACTGGTTTCTTGTGTAAGTTTCAGCTGGAAGCAACATTTGGCATGAAAGCTAATGGATTTGATTGCAGGAGAACTGAAACCCTAGTGAAAGCTGAGTGGATCCCATCCTTGACCAAAACTGCCAAGTTTTCCTACCTTTAACCCCAGCATTACCTGCAAGTGTCCCTGAATGCTGTCTCTCCATCCTATAAATGAGAAAGAGCCAGGCATGACCTTTCTCATTTAAAGTATATGTAAATCTGGGATACACAGCACATACACAATTGCAGGGCACAACCTAAAAGGTGACCAAACCACCTCAAACAATGTTTATGACAGAAGACACACTGTAAGATCTGTGAGCATATGCTGAGTCATGTATGTTCACAGTCTCAGTAGCTGGCACTAAAGATGACAAAAACCAGCACGTAACTCAGTAGCAAAAATAAGTGGTGAGGCCCTACGAGGGGAGGGCAAGGTCATTTCTGTAAGTGTGCAACTGCATTCTTGATGTAATGGCTGCAGTGTTGCAGCTGCAGCTGAGCAGCAAAGCTCACCTCAGATGTGCAAACTGCAGGTGAGCAGGCAATGCAAAGGGGGATTGAGAAGGATATGTAGGCAGCTACACTGGAGGCTTGGCCTTCAAAATCTTTGGAAAAGGCAGCATTGTGTTTGAGTTAGGGTGAAAAGTTTCCTGGATAAAAAGACTCCATTAGGGATCCTGGTCATAGGACCTGCTTGTGCAGGGAAAATACTCAAGATGCCCCATCCTTTGGGGCATTATTACTCCTTCCAGGATCACCTGCTCAGATGGATGGACAGGAAGATTGGCTGTGGCTTTTCCTCTCACTGTGGCCTTCTCTTAAGAATATCTAAAATGTGAAGAGCCTGTGGTGTGTTAGGAGTGTTGTGCCTGGTGTGGTGAAAGAGATGTGAGATGCCTTCATTCTGAGCCACTCCCTGGCTGTGCTACCTTATAAATGGCTTTCTGATAGGACTTGCCAAGTCAGATTCCAGTAGCCCAGCTCCTTGTTTCTGATCTCCAAATGTGTTGTTATAAATTTTAAAACTAAAATTCAAAATTCTACTGCAGCAATGGGGCAAAATTTATGAAGAATTGGATTACTATTAATATATAAAATCTGCTTTTCTTATTTGTCCCCTTTTCCTTCTTCTCCCTCTTCTCCTTATATTCTTCATTCTAGATCCACAAATAGTTTATTAGTGATCCATACTAGTCCAAGTGGGGGCAGAGATGAGAGGACTTGTATGGATAGTGAGCAGCAGGGCACTGTTGACAACCTTTCACTGGAATTTTTTTTTTTTAAATTACCCTGTTTTCTTGCATGCACAGTTTGGTGCCTAGATCCATGATGTCGGACATACGGAAACTTTGTTTTATACAGCAGTAACTGTTTCAGGGTTTTTTCCCTGAAAACATTGGTGTATGTCCAGTTCATCTCAATGGGTGATCAGTGTGCAGGTACTGAAGATGTATGCTTCCAAGTTTGGGTAATTGTACCAATGTAAATCTTTTACGTGCTGTTGAACTTAGAGGCTACCACATGAGGCATTAGAGGATCATGAGCCAGACTAGAGAGCTCTCATCATATAATTTCCATTGACACCTTGTTGCTTGTGGCTACCATCAGTCATTGTCTGTATGGGAGGCAAGAGAATGTGCTGTTGTAGGGAGCTACAGACACAACAAAATGATACAATAGTCCAAAATAAAAGTACAGTTATTTAAAGGTAAATAAATTCCACTTATTATTATGGAATCTTTCCATCTTCAGGGACACATTAACTCAGAAGATACTAGACAGCAGTGCTCAGGGAGGGCCGAGTGATGTGCCTGCAGTATTAAGAGGCCTCCTGTGGTAAATGCTCTTGGTCAGTGCAAGAGGACAAGGTGGCCAGGATAGCTCAATTTTTCTACTTTGAGGCCTTTTTTTTCCATTTTACTCTGCCCAGATTTAGAGCCTGATAGGAACCTCTCAAGTGGGAAAAGTGCAGAATCTCAAAACAGAAGCATAAGAGTTTTTCTTGGGTATAAAATTTCAGTCAATAATGTGCTGTTGCCTTATTGACATGAAAAGAATGCCTTTCATGTGATACAAACATTTACTTGCTCCTGCTTACTCTACTCACCTTGTACAGAAATGCTGATTGCCATTGACTAATCAGTCCATTTTTGTATATTCTCATCAGACTCTTTCTTTGGCTGGAACAATATGCACTGTATGATGCTTGCATGTATAACAATTTGTTATTAGCACTTTGTATATGCCTTTGTTACTTCACAACTAACAGTTTGGCCTCTAAATGCATGCATTTGTGTAAATTAATGTTACAAAATTAATACATTTATTTGCTATGTAATTTAGGAGATGTGTAAGATATGCATAAAGACACATAATTGCCATTTAGTCACTGGGAGAAGACATTTGTTCAGCTTGTATTTATACAATTACTGTTTCTATTTAGGCTTTATAATGCCATGTTTATCTTTTAGTTCTGTATTTATTCAGTTGCAGATTTGGTTTTTAATAATTTTATAATGATTAATTACAGTACCATATAAAACAGTTTAAGAAATAATTTTTGTTATACGATTCTAATAAGAAGTAGCATTTTTTTTCTTCCAGTGTTCCTGAAATCTCTAAATACCTTTATTCATATAATGAAATTATAAGACTAATGATCAAGCAATTTTATCCCCCTGATATTGAGCTAATAATAAGCTATATACATGGCTCTGAACCAAGCTTCAGAGTAATGGCAGTTGCTGTTGCAGTGCTAGAATGCAAAGACATCACATTTATTTTGTGTGTTTCAACATCTCAGGACACTGTCTCCTGCAAAGTCTCCATCTTCATCCACTGGATCTATTGCTTCCAGCAGAAAATACCCTTACCCGATGCCACCACTTCCTGATGAAGAGAAAAAAGTCAACAGGCAAAGTGCCAGGGTATGTGTCCCTCTTCTCTCTGCATTTCACTAGGGGCTTGATTTATTGGTAGTTTTTCAAAAGGAAACTGTGGCAGATTAACACCTTAGACCAACAAGGAAAGCTGGAGTGGCACTTCCTTTGCACCCTGAACTTCTGAAGCTGCTGAGCCTCTGGCAGCAATAAAGGCTCAACAACTGTGTTTATAGGCAGCTTTTCAGGTTGCTCTTAAAGCTGCCCTGGAGCCCAGATTTCACTACTCTTCTCATTTCAAGCTAAAAATGTGCCCTGGACAGCCTTTGGGCTTCAGAGTACAGGCAGCCCTGGAGCAAGTGTTGTGTTTGCCTCTCCTTTCTTATCCCTTCTCCCAGCAGCTCTCATTCAGCCTGTAGGGATAGCTGCTTTCCAGCTTTATGGAAATGTAAAAAGTTCCAGTTATGGAGCATGTGGAGGGCTCGCATGCCTGGAGGAACTTCACTGCTGTGTGACCTGGTCCCCCTAGAGTGACCAGGAGCTGCTGGAATGTGTGGTGGATAGTAATGCTCCATACGGAGAGATTTCCAGCTGTTCCAAAAGGATTTTGTTTCCTTTGTATCAATTCAAACATAGCAGGTATTTGAATAAGAAAAAAAGTCCTGAAATTTAGGAGCTTTACTTGCAATACCCTTGGTTCATGTTGCTGATGCTGATGAGATTCTCATCGCTGTTTTCTGTCCTTTTCTTTTGAAGAAAAAAGGAAGGGGGTGCTGCTCAGGGAACCTGAAAGCTGCTCCCCCAGTGCTGCTCGGGGCAGAAGATTGTGTGAGGTGCGGCACAAGGTCTCTCAAGGCAGCTTGGAGCCTGGGCTGTACTGATGTGTCTCAGACCTGGAGCTGCTTTGGCAGCAGCTCAAATCCACTGTAGGAAGTCATGCTGCTCTGAGCAGAGTTAGGCAGATGAAAATGGGAAGTTATCACTACACTAATATTAGCTTAACTCTAAGGTAAAAGCTGTCTAGTTCAAGTTTGATGCTTTATTGAAATTTCTCCTTCAAAAAGAAAACTGAACTCCCAGCCATGGACATTTACTATGCCAACTGCAAGTTGTGCTGACATGCTTCAGTCTGCTCACTTGGTGAAGAGATACCCACCAGAGGCTGGGAGGAGATCTGGTGACCCAAGTAGTGTAGATGCAGTTCCCCAAACAAGCTCCTTGCACTGTTTGGGTGACAACCTGTTTTATCTTGGTGTTCAACGTGTGTTTGTGTTCATTTCCCCCCTCTCCAGCTATGGGAGACATCCATCTAGCTGCACTGTGTTCCTGGGGTCACATCAGAACTGTTTACTTTGGATTTTATAGAAACTCAGCATCACTGAGTCACTGCACATTCATCCTCTCTTCAGACAATTCGAAAGATCAACAGAGATGCCCATGATATCGCAGTGATAACCTCCTCATGTGGAAAGGAAAAAACAGTCTTTTTTTTTTTTTCTTTCTATTTTTTGTTGACTTGTATTTTATGGATTTGATGAACCACCAAAACCATAACATTTGACAGAGAATAATTAGCCCAGATGTGACAAGGCTGTTCCGCACGGTGACATAGAATCCCAGCTGCAGTCCATTTGCCAGTTCTGTGTAAGAGAGGTTTTTCTCTGGTTTACTGCAATCCTGAGTCAGACCATAGTGGAACTGGGAACATGCCTCACGGAGAGCCCAGCTGATGTAAACTTGTACGCTGTATGCATGAACCTTGTGTTCTTTACTTTCTACATGTAAGGGAAAAACAACATACTGTAGTAGAGACTAGCATGCAGGAGTAAGAAATATAGGATTTTTTTTTGTGACAGGATTTCAAGCTTTGAAAGGTACCTATTTGACACAAACAGCAAACAAACAAAGATTATATCTTTTTTTTACCTTACATGTTTATAATCTCAGTATACAGATTGTATATATGTATACAATGTCAAAAATAGCTGTTATACGTATGTGTATTTTGCCAAATGCCTGAAGAAACAGTCATGACTAACATCATCACACTTCAGATTTTCTAATATTATGAGCAGATATCCTTGGAATTACAGAAAGTACACTACTGTAAAACTGTGTCTCTCAGAAACTGGTGTTTGACCAAAATCTATACAACCTTTTCAGCATCTTATACTGTCTTGACAATCTCAGTTGTACAGTAGACTGCAGAAACCAGTACAGCAGCACTTTGTCTTAAATCATCATAAGAGGAACCAGCCAAAATCCCATGTTTAGCAAGATAACCATTGTATCCTCTCACAGGTGTAATCAAGAATGATTTGGCAGACAACGGTCTTTAAGTCATGTGCAGCCCAAACTTACCGAACATTTGGGAATACTTCTAAGTGGTCAATTCAGGATGTGGTGATGTGAAGTCTGTCTGTGAGAGTTGCTGTGTCTTTTTGATAGAGCATTTCAAACACTGTTTTAGATGGCAAGGCATAGGTTTATGAGAAGCATAGCAATTTCGCTGCACTAGATAATAACAGTGCTGGGCAAGTGGCCAGTTTCATTGCTGTCTTTCAATTTTAAGTTGTTACTGGAATTGCTTTTACCATGTGCTTGAATGCTATGCTTGTTGCCCCTGAAGCCCCCTTGACAATTTTTTGGGGCATTAAACTGAGCACAAGTGAATTTAGCTTAAAAAGAATGGGTTGGGGGGGATCAACTCTTTACCATGTTAATCTTGTGTATAAGTTGATGGTTATATTTTAAACACCTGAGACTTCTAAGGGTTGTTGTAAAGCAAATGCCTTCTGATTGGGAATTTTCAGTTATTAAGAAACTGGACCATATTAAATCAGTTTATAATTCTCTAGTTTTCCAAAACTGACTACTTCTTAGCTTCAGGTAGTTTCGCAGAATAGCAGAATAAAACACCCAGCCGTGTGGTGCAGTTGAATACCCTACCCAACAGCTGTATGATTAATTAGATATTATTGTAATGGGAACATCTATGGTGTTTCTGAATCTTCTACCTCTTTCATGTATTTCCTTTAGTAAGTGAACCCAACACTTGCAGCCTTTTAATGTATTTTTTTAACTTTTACGTCTCTCAATAGTCAGATATATGTAAGATTAAATTAAGAAATGTTTAAAGACGTCGGCAGCTGTAAAATATGTAAGATTTTTAGAAGCATTATATTTTATGATTAGGCTGTATGTTGGATTACGAAATATTGGCCTTGGGATTCAAATGATTTTCCTGCACAGTCAACAGGTTCTGGTAAGTATTTGGAAAAAGACAAATATAAGTGAGCATAAGTGGGTGCAGACTGACCATCTGGAAGGAGACAGTCACTTGTAACTGGTTTAGGGTAAGATTCAGCATTTTTGTGAAAGGTAAATATATCAATCTGCACTGAAGAATATCTTCTGCAAAGATTTACTTTGAGGGTATCTATCTGGATTAAAGCAAGTCGATAGCATGAAATTAAGAAATTAAGGTCTGAGCCATAACTTGAAATCAATATGTCTTTGTTGATTTCACTGGACTTTGAGCAGGACCCTCAAGAGGTTCACCCACGTTAGGATATTATGATAACCTGATCGTCGATGTATTACTCTGTTGCCTGGAAGCCGGTTTTCCCTCCATATTCATATCTTGTCTTTAGTAACTGGACTGTTCATCTTGTGCCTTTTATGGTATTTCTTTGGATACAAACTGGCATATTGTTTTGAATAATCTCATTAGATTTCTGTGCATATCTTACATTTACCACTGTTTTCTTTTCCCTTTCTATTTTGCCTTACCAAGAAGCAGCAAGATTTGGCAGACAGAACTGGATATAACATACTGGCTCTTTCTGCTATGTTCATGGCTTCATGTTTTGCAAACAAATGGCCCTCCTGACTGTATTTTCAATGTAGTATGAACTTCCAGCTTCTTTTGTTTTGCTATAATTCATTTGTAGCATATGATGATACACTTATGTGTGTAGTGTACCTTTAACGGTCACCTTTACATTTGGAGATACGTAGTGACTGGAAGTCCAGTTCTGAGCACAAAGTTTAAGTTAAATAAACGTTGATTTTCACTTTGGTGGTCTAGAGTGAGAATATCACAGGATTTGTGTTTTTGCAAAGTTCTTCTGCAGAGAACTTTGCATCAGATTGGTAACTTGGGAGACCTGAACTGGCAGGGCTGTGTGAGCATCCCAAACCAGTAGAGGTTGGACAGAGAAGTTGTTTGCTTACAAGCTGTCATTTCCTACTTTAAAATGTAGTGTGTTGGAAAGCTGACAGATTAATAACCTTGAAGATTGCAAATATTTTTATCCACTGTAGGTAGTTACACTGGCAATAGCAATATAAACTGCTGCATAATACCTCATCCAGACTAAAACAGAGTACTTGTCACTAATATAGCTCAGTCATTTTGACTCATTGAGACTCATGCAATTATTTTGGTTTTATTTTAATAAATGAACTAGTTATTGCCAACTATGCTGTAGATGCCTGTTGAAGAGAGGAAGCTATCAATTCTCAACTAGAAGTAATTGTTTATATGAACATAGGACAGGCAGGATGAGATATACTTAAGTTACCTTTATGTATTTCAATGTGGGAGAAGAATCCTGTGTAATTTATAATAAAATTAATATGACTAACTGATGGAGACTGGAAAATTGAGATTGTATCTAAAAATAATGCTGCACAATGATGCCACAGTTTAACAAGTAAAGATTTACCTACTAATTCTGGATTTGTTGGCTTAAGAAATTTAATAATCTCAGGCAATATACCAGAGATGGTAGTGACTGATAATTTACATATAGTTTTGTTATATTTAAGTAAGTAGATTCAAGAAGATTGATCATTTTATACAGCCTATCTTTGCTTAAAGTGTGAACTGAAGTCACAACTTGCCAGTCACCTGAAGTGTGACTTGAGTTTGAAGATGGCTTCTTCCAAATGATTTATGAGGTATTGAACTTGTTGAGTTCATGTGCCCATGAAATAATTTTGATTGTGCTATTGAACAAGTAGACCTTTGAGGTATAGCCTGAACTAAAATCAGAAAGAAATTGTGTCAGTAGTTAATGTACTGAAATCTCTTACTCAAATCCCTATTGCTGGTTTGGACTGATTGGTCTTGTCAATACAACTCTTTTCAAAACCAGAGCTAAGAATGGGTACGCACACTCTTATAGACATGCATATCCTGCAACTTCTGCCCAAATTTTCTGTAACTTTGTAAATGAATTGATTCATGGATATAATGTAATGTGAAAGAAGGATGAGACTCCATAACCCTACAGGATATGCTCTTCAGTTGGCCCTTAGGACTTGCTCTGTCATCAAATCCCTTACCTAGTTGTAAGCAAAATTATCACATTCCAGTGTAAAACTCAGTGAGCTCCTGTTCTCTTCCATCCCCTCTTCACTCTTACTGAAAAGCATTTTCATGAATGCTTTCATCATTTTCATGAATGTTTCAATGGAAACATTTATCCACTAACAGCTTCTGTGAGTTGGCTGACATCAGAAAACTGCTAAGTTGGTCACCTTTTCCTACTATGGATAGGATCTTTTCAATGCAGTTAATAATAGTAGGTTTAGAAGAGATATCAGTAAGAAATTCTTTACTCTGAGGGTGGTGGGACACTTGCACAGGTTGACCAGAGAAGCTGTGGATGCTCTATCCCTGGAAAAATTCAAGGCCAGGCTGGATGGGGCTCTGAACAACCTGGACTAGTGGAAAGTCCTGCCCATGGCAGGGGCGTTGAAACAAGATGATCTTTATGGTCCTTTCCAACCCAGACCATTTAATGATTCTGTGACCTTTTGCTTATGCTATAATCAGGTGATGATGTCTCATATCTCATGGATTTTCTACTGGTTTTGCCTGGGGATGAGTTAATTTCCTTTACAGTAGCTGGTATGAGGCTGTGGTTAGGATTTGTGCTGAAAACAGTGTTGATAATGCAGGGAATTTTTTAGTTATTGCTGAGCAGTGCTTTCAATGAGCCTCTTCTGTGCCTCACATGCCCCGCCAGCAATTGGGCTTGGGGTGCATAAGGAGTTGGACAGCAGACCCAAGGGATATTCTAAACAATATGATGCCATGCTCAGAACCAGTCCAGGGGGAAGGTTGGCAGTGAAGAACTGCAGCTCAGGGACTGGCTGAGCACTGGTCTATTGATGGTGAGCAATTATTTTAATTTGCATCACTTGTCTTTTTGGGTTTTATTTCTCTCTCTGTTAATTCCCTTTTCGTTATTTTTTTTATTATTACTACAATTGTTTAATTTTAATTATTGAATTGTTCTTATGTTAACCCATGAGTTTTCTCACTTCTACCTTTCCAATTCTCTTGGCCCATCCCACTGGGGGTGAGGAGCAAGCAGCTGTTTTGGGGCTTAGTTACTTGTGGTTAAACCAGAATGCTACTGCAAAAGTTACTGCAAAAAGCACTTGGTGACTCAGCTGTACTGTGTCTCTCCCACCTTGTAGCATTGTTGAAGGCTAAGCCTCTTTAATCACCAAGTTTGGGAACCTAACAGTTGAGCTGTTTCCTGTTTCTCTTGCTCCAAATCTGAAGATCATCTGTTTCTTTCTCTAAATTCAGTATCAGTGTCATGGGATAACAGTGGACTGTTTGAACCACTGTTTTCAACCAGAATATGATGTTATTTGCCTCATTTTTAAAAAGCTTGTGTATTTCAGTCTCCATGGAATACCTAGAATGGATGAGCTGATGACCCACTATTTGCATGGCTTCCAAATCATACGACATTATCAGCAACATGGGATTTGACTTTGATCACATTTGATGTGCTCAGTTGGTTGGAGCACAGTGTTAAATAACACCAGCATCAAGGGTTCAATCCCCATATGGGCCATTCACTTAAGAGTTGGGCTTGATCATCCTTGTGGGTCCCCTCCCCAGAATATTCTGTGATTCCTAAAAACAAATTTGAATAAACTGCAAAAATATGTGCAGGTTGTGGCCCCATGTCTGCACAGGGGAGTGAGGTTCCTGTGTGCACGTATCTATTATCCTAATAAGGCAAAAAAAAAAAATGAAACAGTGAAATTAATTGTGTAAACATAGCTGCAATAGAGATAGGACTCTCTTAAGTGTGATTTTGTCAGAAACAGGAAAGGAAGTAATAGTTTCTGTCATCTGTGCTAAAAATCTGCTCTGACTTATTTTCTAAGTCAGCTTATGAAAACGATTTCTGGTGTCTCAAGTATGGATGCTGATGTTAACTGCAGCTTTGGAAACAGCATCTTGTGCACCTGGCACATGGTATCTTGTCATTCCACAACAGTTTTCTGCAAGTATTTGGAGAAAAGCACTACAACAGTCAACATTCCTAAGTTATCTCAGCCAAGTAAGAAAAACAAGCAGTAAAAATAAATTCAGAACACAGATATTACTCACACTTGACACACTGTACCTGGCTTCCAAATTGTCTCACCTAGCCAGGTCTGGCAGGTCTAGCTCTTTATAATCCAGTCTATACCAGTTTCAAAATCTCTTCAGCTAAACCAGCTTTAAACTGTTTAAAAACTTCTGCTACTTAAGATGGGCCATAGTTGACATATAACTCAGAATGAGATGAGGAAAATTTGGGAAAATAAGCACAGAGCAGTTAAAAAGAAACGTTCTCTAAGGGAGAAGTAAATGGTGTCAACACAATTTTTAATTGCTAGAGCATAGAATGTCAAAGCAACAAGCTTATAGTTTTCTGTTTCTGTATTCCTCTGAATAAAAAATTAAAGCTTTTGTTTTAAAAAAATCAACATGAGGCCTTAAGACCTTATATATTCTAACTTTAGCATGGAGAGTCTATTTTTACAACCATGTTAGAAATTCTGTATATAGGCCTGACTGACCTTGTAAGTAGAGTGGTGCGAGCAGCTAATCATGCAATATTGTAAGACTCTGTAGAACAGCAAATGCTGATTTAGTCTGATTATTGGTACAAGAACTCCTGCTCACTGTCTGTGTAGACTCTGCATACTATACACTTGGAAATACAGTCCAGAACATACTCAAACTGTGAATATATAATCTGATTTTTCTTTTCTTAAGGATAAAAATATATTACAATAGGTAATGTTTTATATAGAATACAGTAATTATTTTTATTGTTGCATAAATGCAAAATATTTTTTTCAGAATAGCAAAGCATTACAGAATTTTTAATCTGCTGGAGAAAACACTATTTACTGTATGACCAGTTCTTTCAGCAAAGCTTTTGGGGTGGTATATACCAACTGGCTCTGCCACCTTCATTTTGTGCTGATGCTTAACTTGGGCATTGCTGTAAAAAAAAAAGCTATTTTTTCACTCATACTAGCCATTATTGAGAGAGGCAAGTAGAATTGTGTTTCACCACTGTGGCTGGGCTAGTATTGGCAAAAACAATGATTTGCATCATATCATTGTCTTTGCTAGTTAAAATCCTTTAAAAATCACACCTGATGTAATAAAAGCGTAAGATTTTGACAAACATCAAAATGAAGCATTGCAGTTTAAGACTTTCTAGCTTTGAGTGTGATATTTTTGTCATAAACATTACAGGCATTGGGCTGTTGAATGAATCTGGCTTTCATGTAGCGAAACAAAAGGTTGCTTTTTATAAAATCAAATCATTGTAATTTGGGGTTCTAAATTCCTGCTCACTTTTAATAATAACAGCGTCACAGTATTCACTTCTACAAGAGTATTTAATACAAATGCCTGTGGTTTTCAATGTTACTAACATGTTGTAACATCAGTAAAGTGACTTTCAATGACAAAGACTGTTGTGTGTATTTTGTTCTTCTAAGTTGTATTTAGCACCTTCTTTTTTATAGATCTCTATAAAATAAAGATGTTGTTTGCATGGGAAAAGGCTAATAGTATAATATAAATATTATTTTTCAAATTCCAAGGTTGAAAATGATCCAGTGAGTTCCTCAATTCTTTGTCTTAGGGGCCTAACTGTTCTCAAAGCAAATCTAAAATTACTATTCCTTAGTTTGCATGCTTGAGGGCAACCTAGGAAAAAAACCTATTTGAAACTATGCCCGGTGGTTGGCTCAAAGGTCGAGAGCAATCACCTCACTTGGTGTCACGTAAGTTTCCTTCTCAGCCTTGTGGGAAAGAGAAACCATTAATTCTGAAAATAACTGTTTCTCTAAAGCAGGTGACTTGCATATTCAATCTGTCCACTGAATCTACTCTTAATGGGGAAGCAAATTTCACAAAGGTGTCAGAGGGTTTTTTTTTAGCTATGACAGCAAATTCTGTAGTAACTCCTCAGCATCTTTATGTGTTAGCTTAGTTTCTCTCTAAACTTGAAAGATGATGTATCTCATCAGTCCATGTGAATACACTGGATTTTTGAAATGCTGATGTAAAACAAAAAGCTATTTTTTCTTAAGGAAGCCAGAATTTTCTCCTGGCTTTGGAACTAATTTTTTGCCCAGTTTTCTCTGGTTTGTGTTTATAAGATCTCTGAAGAAAACCATATTGGTTCACACTGTTTTCCTGAAGCATTTCACTGTCCAGTAGCTGGCTGGTGCCAAAATTCAGCCTGGGGAAATAAACTGAGCAAGACTTGAGTTTTGGGTCCTTGGGTCTTGAGTCCTTTGGCCCACTTGAGTCAGCTGTCCTCACTGAATTCCTTCCCAGCCTCTTGCCCACACTCAGCCTACTCACTATGATTGCAGAGTGAGAACTGAGAAGACCCTGATGCTGTGCAAGCACTGCCCAGCAACAGCTGAAACACTGCTGTGTTATTGATGCTGATTAGTTAAAAATCTGAACCTTTGGGCTGCTAAAAAGAAAATTAATTCTATCCCAGCAAAGCCACTACGAAACCAGAAACACACTAAGCCGAAGTAAAGATGTGTGGGTAATGAACATTTTCATAAAGATCTCTTACTATTTTTAGGGTGAAATTAAGTGTAAGGATGAGCATTATATTTATACAAAATAGTCTATTCAACCCCTGTAGGAAGAACAGCCTTTTTTTCATACTCTTACTAACCTCCTCAGCTGTCAAAGTTTTGAACTGCAGCAGAACTGATGTTGGCTGCTACACTCAGACAAACCTGTATGGATTTTGGTCATTCCATTAGAAATAATTCTGGTAGTATTCCATCTGTTTCCCAACTTTACGTGCAATGGAACAATGTATTATCAGAATGTGGATGTATAATGCTGTCCATGCCTTTGAAATTCATTATGAGGGTAGAAAGAGAACTAGCTTCTGAAATGAAACTATAAGCAATATCCAAAGGATTCTAAATTTAAGCAGTAAGTACAAGTTGGTTCTTTAGGGAAAACCAGCCCGCTTTGAATTTACAGCCTAAAAACTAAAGACTTGGATTTAATAGACATCTCCTAAGCAAAGCAGGGTATAATACAGTAGCTTTGAGTGAGATTCCTGCTCTGAGGAGCTCTTGTTTGTCCAATGATGTATATGCATGTGTGTCTATATATATGCACATATGTATAGTTTTGCTTTCATTCCTTAATGCAAAGGTTCCTCCCCAAAATTGCCCTAATCTACTTATTTAAGAGATACATTTCTTTTAGTATTCTTCTGGCATTATATTCACAAGCAGCAAAACAACATATATCATTCCTCTGTAGTATGCAGAAGTGATCAAAATTAAC